ACGACCATGGATTAAATTTTGGGGCGACTGGCTCTATTGCGTAGACGTCCCTGAGCGCACGCTTGCGCTCCCTCTTGGGGATGTGGGTAGCATATATCATGTTCACCGTTTTGACCCGGGGCTCTTCGTCATCGTCCTTGCTTTGCGATCCCTTTTCCCTATTCTCGGTGTTTAATTTGCCGGACTGTTTAAAACCCCAGCAATCTCTATTTGTATGATTGGGTGGCTTGTCTGGGGTTCCATGAATCTGGCACAGACAATCGAGTATGCGGTCTAAGCTGGATGGGCCTGAATTGTTCTGTTGGAACAGCTTCTTCTGCTGACCAGACTTAGGGCCCCTGAATCCGGCATTGACTGCCCTGTCCTCGGTGTTATCACTGTTGTTTCGGCGCTTGTATCTGTTGCATCGAGACTTGTCTTTGCTAGTTTTAGCTTCAGGGGTGCCGGCATCGCTTGCATTGTTTTTGCTACGGGCCAACCAACTGTCCTCGCCTACACAAAAAGCGGGTCATGAATGCCATGAGGGCTGCCATGGATTTTGGCTTTTCTTGGCCAAGGTGGCGAGCGAGCCATTCGTCGCGGATACTGTGTTTGAAGGCTGCTAGGGCTTCGGCATCCGGGCAGTCGATGATTTGGTTCTTTTTAGTTAAGAACCTAGTCCAGAATTTCCTGGCGGACTCTCCGGGCTGTTGAACTATATGGCTTAAGTCATCAACGTCCGGAGGTCGAACATATGTGCCTTGAAAGTTCTCGAGGAAAGCCTCTTCCAAGTCTTCCCAACTGCCAATGGGATTTGCAGGCAGACTGTTGAGCCAGTGCCGAGCTTGCCCTTTGAGTTTATAGGGAGGTATTTGATGGCGTGGAGGTCATCGCTGCGGGCCATATGAATGTGGAGAATGAAGTCTTCGATCCACACCGCGGGGTCCGTGGTTCCATCGTATGATTCTATATTCACAGGTTTGAACCCTTTTTGAGAATTCATGATCCAGGACCTCATCAGTGAAGCAATGAGGGTGTGTGGCGCCTCTATATCGGGCCGTATCGCGACGTAGCTCGGATGGAGTCCGTCTGCGGTTTTCAGCCCGCGCATGACTAAGTTTGTCACGTCCGAATAGATGGTCGTCGTCGCTTGTCGAGGCACGCCCTCGCGATCCGTAGATTGATCTAGTGTGTCCTGGTTTATTGTTCAGGGTTTGCCGGAGGTCATATGTATGCCCATGGGCTAATTTACCTCTGCCTCTGCACTGAGGCGGGGCTGGCTGGTGTTCGGCGTGAGTTGCCGTTTTGTCTCGACCACGTGGTGGTCGGTCTGCCGCACTGTACGATGGAGGTATGTAGTTCGGCGCCTCCTCGTGAAACTGAGGTAACAGTTTGCGCTTTGGGTAGCTTTTGGTTGGGCGCTTGAGGCCGTACTCTTCGGCTGCTAGGACATCAGTCCATTTATCATTTAGTAGATCTTGGTCAGCTTGAAGTTGCTGCTGCTTCTTTTTCAGGCTCTGTGCAGTGGCAATTAGCTGGCGCTTGAAGCGCTCCTACTCAAGAGGTTCCTCGGGCACGATGAAATCCTCGGTGTCGAGGCTCACCTCGTCCTCGGAGAGCGGAAGGTAACCATCGTCCTCCGAATCTTTGTGTGTGGCCTGTTTACCGGGGCTAACCTGCCCGCCTTCCCATTCGTCTTGTTCATTAGTTGTATCGACGGGGTCTTCATTGTCTTCGGCACCTTCTGGAGTGTTGTCTTCTCCTGTGCCCGTACTGTTTTCTTTGCTGCGGCGTGACTTAGAGCGGCGCAGCTGACGCTGGCGCTTGGACTGTATTTCAGAAGGTTTATCCTCAGCGGGATCTTCCTTGTCCTCGCCTCTATTCTCCTTTGGTTCATCCACCATGTATACATCATACGAGGAAGTGGCCGTCCAGCGTCCGGTGAATGGCGGGTTCTGGACCTCTTCTTCTCCGACATCGTCGTCCATATCGTCGATGTCCTCAGAGTCGTAGTCAAGCTCCTCAGTCAAATCCTCGACCGTGGCTATGTAGTGGGTGGCGGGTGGGAAACAAAATTCTCCACCGCCAGCCCCTAGTTCAAGCCGGATATAGTTCGGCTGTGAGTCATCTGTCAAGGACAGGTTCTTTAACGAGTTTAGCACATCGCCCAAAGGCGAGTGCTGGAAGATGTCTAGGGCGCTGAATTCGAAGATCGATAAACGATCAAGCTCGGCGTCCGCGGGCTCACGTGGTTCGGAACTTTCGGCCAGATACGAGTCCAGAGTTCCGCTGACAGAGACGTCGTGAGAGGTTAAGTCTGTATGCGGCTCCAATGCCGTGGAATCTGTGGCTTCCGTGGTAGGGTTGATCCTCCCGTCCTTGGGTGGCGCAGCTTGCTCCGGATCTAGGGCCAGAGCCGTTGGATGGCCGGGAGCGGCTACCGCGGTCTCGAATCCAGCGAAGATCAAGTCTCCACGGATGTCCGCAACGTAGTTCAAGATCCCAAATCTCACCTGATGGCTAGGGGCGTAGCTTTCGATCTGCTCCAGATGGCCAAGCGAATTGGCCCACAATACGAAGCCGCCGAACACGAAGATCTGTCCGAGGAGAAAGGTTTCTCCTTGGACGGCGTCATTATTGACGATTGAAGGGGCCATCAAACCTCTTAGCGGCAGCACAGTGGAACTCTCAATGAAAGCAACAATGTCGGTGTCAAAACCGGCGGATCTCAGGTAGGGGGTCCCGAACTGTGCCTCTAAGGTCGATGGTAACAGGAGACAAGGGACACGATGTTTACCCAGGTTCGAGCCCTCTCTATGGAGGTAATACCCTACGTCATGCTTGATTGATATTGATGAATATGAGTGTTACAAGAGTTGATCTACCTCGAGATCGTAATGGTTAAACCTTAGAGGTCTAGCTTGTATGGCTATGATAATGAGTATCCTATCCGGACTAAGTCGTCCGGTTTATATAGACACCGAGAGGATCTAGGGTTACACATGGTCGGTTACAAAGAAGGGAATCTACATATCCAGTTATCAAGCTTGCCTTCCACGCCAAGGAGAGTCCCATCCGGACTCGGGTGAAATCTTCGGTCTTCGTATCTTCACAGTCCATCAGTCCGGCCCATGGCTAACAGGTCGGATGCCCGAGGACCCCTTAATCCAGGACTCCCTCAGCGGGCGTAATACATGGTCGCCTGGAGATCCTAGGGCCCCCAAACTCCACGTCCACGCGGATGTGATCCGGGAGTCGACCGACAAAGTGGTCGGCCCGCTGCTGCGCCGTCACGCCCGACGCGTGGCAAGCCAGGGCCTGGAAACGGTCGGCGAAGTCCTGAACCATGGAGGTGAAGGGAAGGCGGCCCTCGTCCTACTCGAAGGAGGCAGAGCTCGTGGAAGCACTCCCAAGGGGGCATGCTGCCCTCGTCCTACTCGAGGGCGCAGTACCAGGTCTCTGTCGCGCCGCAAAGGTGGTAGGAGGCGAGCCAGGTATGCTCTGAGGCGAGGGTGCGCTGCCCGCGAAAAAACTGCTCGCACTGGTTGAGCCAGTTGAGGGGGTCCTCCGTGCCGTCATGGGTGGCGAAGTCTAGTTTGGAAAACCGTGGCGGTGTCTGAGTCGGGGCGGCGTGGCCGACTGGCTCGGAGGTGCGAAGAAGCGAGGATTGGGGCGCCCGGTCAGCATGGCCGCGGCCCATGGAGTGCCCCGCCGAGCCGGAGGGATCGCCGAGCTGCAGAGTGGGCACCAGCGGGTCTCCAGCCGATGTGTAGACGGGTGGCGGCGATGATCCGGTCAGCCAGGCCGGTATTGGGGATGGCGTCGGCGGGAAGCGCACTTGCTGGATCGGTACGCCGCCCTGCGTGGGTGACCCAGGCCCCGTGCTGGGTGGTGGCAGGGCCGGCAGCTGCGGCTACGGCGGCACAGACCTGGGTGTGGGAGGCGCAGCGAGGGTCAGGGCCAGCCACTGTGGTCATTGAGGCGCGGCAGCGAGCGACGGTGGGGCCGACAACTGGGGCTGCGGCTGCCTGGACCCGGGAGGCGTTGGGGGTGCGGCGATCGCTGGGGCCAGCCACTGCGGCCAGTGGGGGGCGACGACGGGCGACGGCTGACCAGGCCAGTGGTGGTGTAGAGGCCCGATTGGCGCCGTGGTGGCCCTCGTACCAGGGCAGGGCGGCTGGCCCGGTCGCGGCAACCAGCGACAAGGGCGGTGGCTGCCCGTAAGGTCCGGCCAGGTAGAGGCGGATGCCCTGGACGGCAATGATGAGGTCATTAAGGACCCGAGTGATCTCCGCCGGGGAGTAGACGGCGGTAGGCGACGCGGTGACAGGCAGCGCCTGGCCGGTGGAGGCCCCCCGCGGTGGAGCCGAGCGGCGCAGTGGGAAGCACTAGCGGCGCGGTGGAGAGGTCGATTGGCGCAGTTGAGAGGAAGGTGGATGCGGTGGTGGTGGGCAGCGGCGGGGTGGGTGGTGGAGCAGACATGATCGGACCCAAGCTACCTAATACCAAATTGGTAGGAGCTAGAACCCTACCGGGTCTAGGGCGTAGGTTGTAGGGGAAGGAGGGGGCTGGGTGTGGTGCTGTTCGTGGTCGCCGGTGACAGGGCGCCGTCGTGCGCGAGAGAGGAGGCGGAGGCGCAAGGGCTGGAGGCGGCTAGGGTTAGGGTCCGGCTCCTCTGAAAGCCGGGCAATAGATTTATTTTTATTGCTTGATTGTCATAGAGTCTTACAACTAGTATATATAACCACAATGGAAAATAAAATAGATAACTTACAGGTTAAGCCCTTAACTAAACCTGTCCAGTGGGCCTCCTACGGGCATAAGTCTGTCTGGTCATAAGACATAATACTAGTCTAGTCATACAAAAAGGAAATGTTGAGAAGTACACTCAGTAGCACATGGCATATAATAGCTATATATCAACAAGAGGAATCAACAGGGTTGACTGATGTAATCAGTCACTTTATGTTCTTGCTGTGGCGTTGACTTTTTCGGAGGTAAATGGAAAAGACAATGACATTTCAGGACGAACATGGTAGTTCCTCCAGTTCCACAACAGGTTTCTTTGGATGGTTGTCGAGCTGGCTCTGAAGGTCTGCCTTGATTGTTTCATCATTGGTGCCCTTAATCAAGACTACCTTTAGTTCAGATAGATAATTGAGGCCAGTGAGCTGATAAGACGCACTGGAGCAGTCAAGCTTGAGCAGCTCAAGAATCTTCATCGATTTTGATCCAATGGTTACATGTAAGTTGCTGGAGCTGCTAGCAATCTCAAGAATCTTCAGCATTTCGAAGGTGTCCAGCTGCTGCCCACACAACTCAACATAGAAATGGAGCCTGTCATCCCGAAGTTGTTTGACACGAAGGCGCAGAATGCATAATTTTGGTAGCTTGGCAAGGATCTTAAGCCCTGTTCGGAGTCCCTCCACTCCGCCGCTCCACTCCGGGAGCAGGGCGGAGCTACAGTTAAACAATACGGAGCTGCAGTCTCTCCACTCCGCAACTCCTCGTATTTTGAGGAGCTGGTGGGTTGCCGAACACTGCCTTAATGTCACTTGGCTCCAAAGTGTCCATCTCCAGATTCAACTTCCTGAGCTTGCTAAGATTGCTCATTGATAGTGCCAGCTTGTCTTGAAGCCCATATAATTTAAGACTCTGTAGGTTCTCCCAAGGCACGGGGGTGTCATCCAAGTCCAAGCAACCTTGATTGTCCTTGTCAAGCCGCACCAACAAGGATTCCAAATGCACATGACCCGTGATTGCAGACAAGAACTCCTTGCTGTTATGCATGTTGATGCCAGACACTCCGAGCTTGCGCAATTGGGTGAGCTTCTTGAGCTCTTTCAGAGTGGCCTTCCCCCTTGAAGCGCCGATGTTGACAACACCGAGCGTGTGCAGCGCCGTCAATTTTCCAATCCCTCTAGGCACCTCAACGCCAACTAGGCCATGACTTTTGCGGGACTGTGGCAACCAACTAGAGGATGCAGCCTGCGTTGATGCTGGGACCGTGGTACCAGCACGAATGTACTACAACCTGTGTAACTTGGTGATGCTGGTTGGCAGGGTGACAATGGAGGTGTGTCTCACATCCAGGCTCTGGAGCTGGCTCAGAACACCAAGTGAACTCGGCAGATGGAAGATATCGCTGCATCCTCGTAAAGAGAGAAACTTAAGGCGCCGCAGCCGCTTCACAATCTTCCTGAGGTCTTCATCCTTGACAGCTGATGCATCCTCCAAATCAAGCACCCGAACCAGCCTCATGTTTTTCGAGATCAAGAAGGATTCCCACTTTCCAAACACTGTCATTGACCGTAGCCGTGAGAAGTCAATGCTCTCGAATACAATCCTGTCACTGTCCCAGTCTCTGTGTATGATAAGGTGGTGCCCTGTTCGCTGGGTCGTTAGGGCACAATTGGGCCCGAGTTCAAACACAAGGTTCTCTTCCATTCTCCGTGAGACGATGTACTCACGGATGAAGCCAGTGACCTGGCACCTTACCATCCTTGTCTCACCAAAGGCAGTGGTGCCGACCTCTGGTATCTGCTGGATTATGCTCAGCGCGAGGAGCTTGGAGAAGAACTTCTCACCCTGCTCCTCAGCGGATCTTTTCTCGTTGTCCCTAGAGTAACCCTCTGCAATCCACCTCCTAACTAGCCGCCTGCGCCTAATGTTACAACCTTCAGGAAAAATTGATAGATAAAAGATGCATGGCTTGAGTGAATCCGGACAATTACGGAAGTAGGAATGCATCCAATCAAATAGGGCTCGCAGACTATCATACTCCAGATTGGTCTCTAGATGCTGCATAAATCTGTGATTCAAGGAATGTACAGTATCCATCAATCCCACCGTCCGCGTGGCTAGTACAGCAGCTATGGCAACTATCACTTTGGGAAGACCTCCACACTTCAAAATAAGTTCATCCAGCGCTGAATCTTTGTGATTATTTAAAGACGAAGACGACGCCTTCTTGCGTACCTATCAATTACATTGGCAAAACAATACATAAGTTTAAAAAGTGTAAGAATTATTAACTCCAGTTCATCGTCAAGGTAAATATCAATTACATTGGATTATAATGTTTCTGTTGCAGAATATAGAGTGAGTGATATTTGAACACATATTTTCATGCATGCATCAATTCAAAAAGATGCTTGCAAAATAAAAGGAAATTTTTTTCCATAAACCTAAATTTTCGAATTTTGTGAATAGAAAATTCAAACTATATTTAGCATGGGGCATCCATTGCTAATTAAGTAAATGTTGCTTTCCAAAACATGCGCCAACTGGAACTCGTCTCCCTTTTCCTGATTCTCATCTTCTTCGGCTTTTGCTACTTCTCTAACTTTGACAACTAATACAAAAAAAACCTTAAAGTTGTTGGATCAAAATTGTACCATCGAGCTGTCCGGAATTTATTTTCAATGTTATACAAATTATATATTTTTATTAGCACACTAGTGTAAAATTGACTACATCAAACGTCTAGTCATATTTTTTTATCTTTTCTTAGTTACGTTCCTGCCCATAACTTGTTCTACGTTCCAAAGCTTCTAAAAATATGATTTGTACATTTTATAAAATAGATGAAAAAATGCTCATAGATATTCAATGTGGTATATTATTTTCACTTGAAAAGATAATTATAAATATCAACGATCTGTATAGAAAAGGTCAGGTCTTCTTTGTAACTCAAGAAGTTTTTTTTAGAACGAAGACGCCAGATGCGTCCGGCTTTAAATTAATAAAGCCCCAACGGCAGTGTACCACAAACCAAGTCTTAATACAACACCAAAAGCCCTGCCGGCTTGAGCACCAAAGTTCAGATGAGATTAAAAACAAGCCGCCAAACGAGATTACAGGGCAGAGTCCGTACAGAGCACGCAGGCCCGTCAAGCCACAAAAGAACCGAAGTCATGACTCCCTAGCCATCGCATACACTTGCGCCAGTCGTTGTTGGGCGGTCTTGATCAGCTCAGCATCCTTGCGCCTCCCCAACGGACTCCACTGTTGTAATAGAAGGTTACATTTGAAGATGATATTAGCGGGATGATTTGGGAAGCACCCTTCTATAGTAAACTTGTTCCTAGTTAACCATAAGGCCCAGAGAAGTGCCCCAACAGAACTCCACATAACCCGATATGCTGGGCCCTTAATCGCATCAAGGAGGTTGAAGAGCTCTGGAGCCGAGCGCGGGTCCCAAAGGACGCCTGCCACGGTGCGGACAGCACTCCACGCAAACCTTGCTAACGGGCACCGGAAAAACACATGATTGGCATCCTCCGGTTCCCCACATAACGCACACGGACCCGTGGCCGGCCCATTACGTTTGGCTACGTTCAAGGAGGTGGGAAGCCTATCGCGAAACAGTTGCCATATGAAAAGCTTAATCTTCAAAGGCATCTGCGCTTTCCACAATCCTGCAATCACGGGTTGTGTCGGCCCTCGACACAACTTGCGGTATAAGGAGTTCACCGAGAATTTCCCGGAGTTAGTGAGCGACCAACTTACCGTGTCAGGTTGATCTGAAAGACCCACCGGGTCGATTAATTGCCTCAAGGCCGCGAGGCTTGCCTGCTTAGGTCCGTTGAGTTCCCGTTTGAACTGAATCTCAGGTGGCGTCGCGGCAAGTGCATCCGCCACCGATAACGCGGTGTCAACGGCAATATCGTACAACTCCCGGAATTCTATCCAAAGGGGTTGAGTACCTATCCAAAGGTCAATCCAGAAACGCGCGGATCTGCCGTTCCCAACCGCAAATTTTGCCCCCATGGCAAAAGCTGGTTTGATCAACTGAAGATCATTCCAAAACGGTGAGCCCCTTGCCCTTCCTTCAAAAAAATTCCTGTTAGGAAAATATTTGGCCCGTAGGAGATCGACCCACAACCCGGATGCCCCTTGGGTGATTTTCCAAATCCATTTACACATCAGCGCGATGTTAAGCCATCTGGAATTGGTGATCCCGAGACCGCCCAAGTCCTTGGGCCGGCATACCCAGGCCCATTTAACCATGTGGTATTTGTGGTGCGGGCCAGTTCCTTCCCAAAAGAACTTGGCTCGAGGCGTGTCGAACTTGGCATGGACCCCTTCTGCAAGCAGAAACAGCCCCATGGCAAACATCGGCAAAGAAGACAGGCTGGAATTTGTGAGCACTAACCTCGCCGCTTTCGACAAAAAATTTCCCCGCCAAGGACAGACCCTAGTCCTCACTTTGGCGCATAGAGGCTCACAATCCTCTATCGTGGGTTGTTTGGTGTCTACCGGGAGGCCCAGATAAGTGAACGGGAATTTGCCCACTTTGCAGTTGAGCAAATCCGCAATGCGCCTTCCCTCCTCGGCCTCGATCCCATCGAGAGCACCTCGCATTTGTGGAAGTTAATTTTGAGGCCCGACATGAGCTCAAAACTGAGAAGAATCGCCTTGACCGCAGCAATGCTATGTAGGTCCGGACGAAACAGCAGTAGCGTGTCATCCGCGTACTGCAAGTGGGTTACTCCCCCTGGAATGAGATGTCCTACCAACCCTTTGATATGACCAGCCTCCGCCGCTTTCCTCAGCATTGAGGACAGCGCATCAACTACAAAGTTGAACAGGAGGGGGGGAAACGGATCCCCTTGCCTGAGGCCTCGCTTGTTTCGGAAGAAGTGCCCTACTTCTCCGTTCACCAAAATAGCAGTTTGTCCTCCCAAGACCAACTGCATGACGCGGTGCACCCAAACAGCGGAGAAACCCCGGCTGAGTAGCACCTGACGGAGGAAATTCCAATTAACCCGATCGTAAGCCTTTTCGAAGTCTAGCTTTAATAGCACCGCCGGTTCCTTAGTTCGTTTGAGTTCGTGTATAATCTCCTGAAGGGCTAGAGGGCCCTCAAGAATATTGCGACCACGAATGAACGCGGATTGGTTGCAATGGATCACACGATGCGCGATCGAAACTAACCTAGTCGCACACGCTTTGGCACAAATTTTAAACGAAATGTTGATGAGCGCAATGGGGCGGAATTGTCTAATATCGTCGGCCCCTTGAACCTTTGGTATGAGCGATAACACTCCAAAGTTGAGGCGCGATATATCTACCAACCCGCGCATAAACCCGTTGCAGATCTTGAAAATCGGGCCCCTAAGTAAGGGCCAGAACCGTTTAAACATTGCCACCGGCCACCCGTCCGGGCCGGGGGCCGTGTCCGCCTTCATACCCATCAGCGCGGCATCGATTTCTTCGGGAAGGAATGCTAGCCCCAGTCCCTCGTTCTCGCAGTCCAGCACCCGTTGCCCTGCTTCCCACACATCCGCATTCAGACCAGCCCTCTGGTCCTCGCACGTCCCCATCAACTTAATGTAGAAGTCGTAAATATGCCGAGAGATGTCCTCTTGTCGCAACAGAAGCCCCTGCTCCGATTGCAACCTTAGGATAGAACATTTACGACGTCGGCCATTAGCGTAGGCTTGGAAATACTTGGTATTAGCATCCCCTTTGAGGATCCATTTCAAGCCACTACGATGACGCCAATATTCCTCCTCTGCTCGCAACGACGCTTCAACCTGACTTTCCAGGTCGTATCGGTGGGCCCATTCCGTCTCCAAAAGGTCCCGAATATCTGCCTGGGAATCGATCGTTGCGATCTCCGCTAGTATGGCGGCTCTGTGTGCTTTGTCGGACCTCCCCAGGTTAGCGCCCCATCCCTTGAGACTTGCCCTGAGTCGCCCGCCGGCAGCGTTCCAGAACTCCATCGAGCCACGTTGGGACCCCACTTGACTCACGCACACCCGCCACTTCTCCCTGAAGAGCTCCTCAAAGCCTGGCACCTCTAACCAGGCCGTTTCGAAGAAAAAACGGGGGCTACGTCGCACTCTATCCTCCCCCGAGGAGTACACCAGAGGTACATGGTCTGACCCAATCCGAGTCTCCGCGACCAGAGTGCAGAGGGGAAAACCCATTTCCCAATCCGGAGACATGAACACACGATCCAGCACAGAGCGTACCGGGTCTAATTGCTTGTTTGTCCATGTGAATCGAGCGCCCGTTCTGGCCACCTCCCTGAGGGCCATCGAGGCGATCGCAGCGTTAAACATAGCCACCCGAGGCCAGTTTATGTTACTGTTACTCTTGTCCGCACCCGACCTAATCAGGTTGAAATCGCCTCCCACCAGGATAGGAAGCGTTGCCTCAGTCACGGAGTGAACTTTGGCTTGGAGTTCTCCCAAGAACTCCGCCGATCTCGAGTGATCGGCCGGCCCATTATTAGTGCTTTCTTGTATAGCTCACATAGTAAATTATTAGAATTTTACAAATTTCATTGTTGGTGCAGATCTATATCTATGCTTAGTAATATAAAAAGCACGAGTTGGTAGAAAATACTTCAGATCTATGAGGCAATCGAATTCTTTAATTCAATAGCATAACAATTTATCCAATGGTTGTGGACAAATGCCATGCCCTCCCCTAATGAATGTAATGCTAATATCATCATAATTGTACTTATTTCCTCATAATTACTATCTAATATCACGTTCGTTGAATTTGTCTATAAGATGATATTTCTACACGAGTACTAAAAAATTGTTCAAGTTTTTGCTCTGAGGATCCCATGTTGTCTGGAATCTTTGTAAAACTAGGCATATACTACTTCCCTCCGTCCCATAATGTAATAAAGCGCCCCTTTTTGAAAAAGTGATAAGAAAACACACCTCTTTCCTGAAGAGATCAAAGGCTGCAGCAGCTTCCAGACCTTTCACATTAAGCACTTGCTCTTTGTTATTTGCGCAGTATGTGGCGACGCTTGCCTCAGTTGTAATGACGATGATAACACTTGTAGAAGATCTGGATACCAAGGCAGCCTGTATCAAGTCCCATTCTTCTTTAGACCGGAGACCATCAATAACCACGAGACACTGGTGCTGTCTTAGAAGCTCTTGACACTCTCTGATGGGGTCTTTCTCCGAATGAAAATCCAAAAGTAAGGGCATGTTCGGTAGCTCCCCAACTCCAATAAATCCTCAAATCCAGCTTCTCTTTTCGATCGCCAGCTTCCCACGCGAGCGCTAGCGCTCAGAAATCCGTTCGGTGTCTCAGCTCCAGGTTTCGATCGTCATAGATGGGCTGCCAGCCATCTTCAGTGGGATTCGGCCTTATTGGACATTGAGGAGAGGCCGAAGTGAGCCCAAGATGGAGGCTGGATGGAAATCCACGTGAGGCCATGTTCCTAGGGGCTGAAAAGATGGCTAAAGGCCTGGTTTGGAGTGCCTGGGGCGCATTTTTCAGCCTATTTCGCTGGCAGGCAGCGTTTTTCTCCTTTTTCTTTGCTTTCTTTCTCTAACAGAGATGACCAGATTCACTGGGGCAAAGAGTTGCCTTTTCTTTTCTGTGCATTTTTACTAACAGAGAACTATAAAGGGTAGTTTGCAATACTTTCTGCATATAAATTATAAATTATTAAACAGAAATGTATTTTGAATGAAAATACATATATGGCAACACATATCTTAAGGACCAAGACAGTCTGCACGTATTTCATATAACAAAGGGCACAATATTTGCATAAGTTTGCAAATCAAAAGTGGTACATGTTCCTAACATGTACTTCACCAACCTAGAGCAATGTCAGTAGCAAGTTGGTTCCTAAACAGATCCATGTCAACACCATTTTCCTCCGAAGTAGATGTATCTGAAGCATTTGTCGGAACAGCAAATTTCCTATACCGTTCAGGAATTGTTGGCACATAATCCGGATCCCTATCACATCGAACAAAGTGGAGATCTGATTTGTCATGGAAGCGAAGATAGTTGTGCAATGCCATAGTAGCAGCAACTATCATCTTTTGGGTTTCAGAAATGGCAAATACTTTTGAAGATGCCAAGCTACTCAACTGAAACCCAAAAGATGATAGTTGCTGCTACTATGGCATTGCACAACTATGTTCGCTTCCATGACAAATCAGATCTCCACTTTGTTCGATGTGATAGGGATCCGGATTATGTGCCAACAATTCCTGAACGGTATAGGAAATTTGCTGTTCCGACAAATGCTTCAGATACATCTACTTCGGAGGAAAATGGTGTTGACATGGATCTGTTTAGGAACCAACTTGCTACTGACATTGCTCTAGGTTGGTGAAGTACATGTTAGGAACATGTACCACTTTTGGTTTGCAAACTTATGCAAATATTGTGCCCTTTGTTATATGAAATACGTGCAGACTGTCTTGGTCCTTAAGATATGTGTTGCCATATATGTATTTTCATTCAAAATACATTTCTGTTTAATAATTTATAATTTATATGCAGAAAGTATTGCAAACTACCCTTTATAGTTCTCTGTTAGTAAAAATGCACAGAAAAGAAAAGGCAACTCTTTGCCCCAGTGAATCTGGTCATCTCTGTTAGAGAAAGAAAGCAAAGAAAAAGGAGAAAAACGCTGCCTGCCAGCGAAATAGGCTGAAAAATGCGCCCCAGGGCACTCCAAACCAGGCCTTTAGCCATCTTTTCAGCCCCTAGGAACAGGGCCTCACGTGGATTTCCATCCAGCCTCCATCTTGGGCTCACTTCGGCCTCTCCTCAATGTCCAATAAGGCCGAATCCCACTGAAGATGGCTGGCAGCCCATCTATGACGATCGAAACCTGGAGCTGAGACACCGAACGGATTTCTGAGCGCTAGCGCTCGCGTGGGAAGCTGGCGATCGAAAAGAGAAGCTGGATTTGAGGATTTATTGGAGTTGGGGAGCTACCGAACAGGCCCTTAGCCTCGACAAAAATCTCTTAGATTGAAAGGATGGGATACATCCACATCCACCCAGCTGTACTTGTTGAACTGGTTGGTGTGGAGCATTCTGTCACAGTACAAGTTTCTAACAAGAGCTGATTTTCCAATGCCGGCTATCCCCCAAACAGATACCACCTGGGAATGGCTAAAACGTGCCTGAGCTGTATACCTGCGAAGTTCATTCATCTCCGAGTCGCGCCCAACAAGGGGATGATTGCTCATCCAATCTGCGACGGCTTCGCTATCGGAGGGGATTTCTCCATAGGAGGAATTTTGGCTCACTTGAGACGCAACTGATTCCAAGTGTATATCTCCGTAGTGTTGAGAACCCTGCAGGTGGGCAGAGCTTGTTAACACGCAAGAACTACTGAGACAAGGTACATATAACTAAGGACTTCCTTACAAATTGTAAAACCAATAGGGTCTGTCTGTCACATCTAACCTGATCTCCACTATGTTTGTGGTCTATTTTTTTTTTTGTCTTGGCTTTTTTGTTCCTTGTTGCTACCTTATTTGTGGGAGGTTAGATGTGACATCCTTAGAAAACATCTAAACGTGAATTAGACAAACTGAAACCAATATATGCCTAAAAATATTTGCAAGATAAAAATACAGTGATTACCATGCGCCTTATATTTTGCAAGACACATGATTTTAATCTATGATGCAATGTGTTTCTACCCACACAAATGCCTAGGTCACCATTCTAGTTCTACATAAAGACATATAGCAATGAGCCAACGATCAAAGGGTCTATGGGCCTTATATTTTGTAAGAAATATGTGTTTAAACTGAACTTTGTTTTTACATAATGAAATGCCAACTTGGCTGGCCTGGCACCAGTGGATGGATGGGCACAGCCTAAATTATTCCCAAGTCCAACAGACTGTTGAAAAAGGTATAAAACCAGCAAGCAAGTAGACTTATGACATGAAAACGCTATCAGTCAAAAAAATTACTTGAAAATTATTTGCATATCAACATATTTTTCATAAAGACATGTACTATATTAGTAATAATCAAAGATTCTTTCTAGAAGAAGGGTTCCATCCATGTCCAAGTCTACTTTGCTTAAAAGAGAAACACGGGATTTCTTCAAAATATGTAAGCGCCGTTGTTAATTACGTACGGTACGTCGGTACCTCTTTGAAGAAGGCGCAAACCGAGTGATTAGATGAGAAGTGCTTGAGCTCCATCGGTTGGTACGAGTGTCCGATGCACAAGCTTGCGATCTCAAAATGATGCGTGGACACGATGATCCAGCTGCCATTCCCCATGTCCGGAAGGAAGGTCCTCACAGCATCCCAATCCAGCATGTCGGTGAGGTTGTCCAAGACGACGAGGTACGTCTTGGTGTTGACCTGGTGCACGAACTCCCTGAGGAGATCCTCCTCGTGCTTGCCCTTCATTTTGGTGAGCACATGTGCGCCCACGTCTGCTCCTTGTAGCTCGCCGGAGCGGCAGGCGTCCGCGGCGTAGACCTGAGCCATGAAGTGGCGCAAGAAGTCGTCGGGGTTGAAGGGATGCGTGAGCTTGACCCAGGCGCGGCAGGCGAAGTTCTGGCAGATTTCTGGGTCGTTGTACGCCTTGCGGATGATGGAGGTGGTCCCGAGATCGCCGCCGGTCCCCCACACGGAGATCACCTGCAGGAGCTGAGGGTCGGCGTTGCCTTTGTTGGTGATGAGCTGCGTGAGGTCCCCCGGGCCTTGCTGCCTCCTGGCGGCGTCCCTCGCCAGGGCGAGCATGCTGGAGCTGGACGCGGTGACGGCGGGAGGATTGGATCCGACGTTGCCGCCGTTGAGATTGTAGCGCGTATTCCTGATGCACACGCACTCCATCCTGGCCTTGAGCTGGTCGATCTCCTCGACCGCCTCGTTGAGGGGAATGGCGGGCGCCATGCACGAGGGCACCATGCGCCACCACCACCTCGTCCCCTGGTCGAGGTGGACAACGAAGCCGATACAGTCCTCCACGTCATAGGCCAGGTCCCGCACCTGCCTCACCCAGGTCATGGCCACCTGGCTGTCCACGCGCTCTGCAGTGGCGTCCACGAAGAAGGAGCGCATCATCTCGAACTCGTCGGTGATGAGCACCAGGTCACGCTTGGCGCTCCGCCGCAGCTTGGCCTCCTCCTGGATCGCCGACTTGACGTTGGTCAGCGCGCCGTCCACCATGGACTTGGCCAGCCCAAAGCCCAGGCTGTCCGTCATGGCGCTCGATCTCGATTGATGCCGCGCTGGAGCGAGACCAGATCAAGGTGTTAGCGCGCGATCGGCATTGTAAACGAAATCATCAACGGAAAATTGAACCATTCATTCAGTACCTGCTGGCTGAAGCTGAATAGAACTCCTCCTCGGCGCCGGATTCCTCAGTCTCAAGCTCTCACAATCGCCGGCGGCAGCTGCAAATGATACGTGGACGAGATATCTCTACCAGGAGGGAGGGGTGAACATGCAAAGACAAGGGTGGGAGTCTTGGCCTCTTGGGCTCCTACTTGCTGCGCATCTTCTCACTTTTCCATGTTTCAAGCGCGTGAAGACTGAAGACGACCGAGACTTTTGCGTGGTTCGAGGTCTTCGCATGTCGTACAGCCCTAGCTACAGCGGCAACGTGTCTGCTCACGGACGAAAAGACCTTTCTTTGCGTGTGGAGAAAAGAGGACCAAGTTGGTTCATTTTTTAGGTAATAGCACCCAGGTACCCTAACTTGCATAGAATGTGATGATTCAGTCTCAAACTTGTAAAACTTGACTTCACCATACCCTAACTTGTACCTCATGTGATGATTTAGTCCCAAGCCAATCACATCTCTACAATTGGCAGCCAGGTTGCTGGATCGGTTAGCGCACGTACTTTTACAGAAACCCCCTGCCGTTTTTTAATCAATCCGCACTCAGCGTCCGAACCAACCGACCAGAATCGGCACGAATGGCGGCCCGTGCGCGTGGCCAGCATGGCGCGCAGCACGATGGATGAAGCGGCGGCGCTGGTCATGCGACGTGCGCGGGCGCAGCACGCTCTGGGCGCTCTTCCACCAGGACGACCGCGAGCGCATCCGCGACGACACGGCCTTCGGCGTGTTCCCCGTCTCGTCCTCCGCCGCGGCCGCGGCGCTCCCCACCGAATTCCACCAGCTGCCGCCGGCTCGACCGTGCGTCCCAGAGATCTTCTTGGAGGACGAGATTGTTATGGCCGAGAGCTCTGACGAGATAACTCCGGTGGTGGAGCACGTCTTGGTTGTCGACACCTCGGGAGAGATGGAAACCGAAGCTTATGGGTCCGGAGAGATCAAGGCCATGAAGGATCACATAGATCTCGAAATCTTGGCAGCCCAAGAAGCCGCCGCCCATGGACCTGAAGGAGATCGTCGGGAGCTTCCGGCTCGCTGCCTCGGTCTTCATTTAGAAGTGGCACAAGTGGAGGCGCAAGCAGAAGCTCAAGAAGGAGGAGGCGGCCGGCAGCAAGGCAGCGGCCGCGGCAATGCCGCCGTCGGAGAAGCCATCCAAGCCCTTTTCCTTTGGCGGAGCCGCTTTCGTAGGGAGGCAGGCTCGGAGTTCGCCAGAGGCCGTCGTTCGTGCGACACGGACCCAAGCTTCTCCCTTGATGCTGGCCGCATGTCTGTCGACGATGTAGGTCTATCCTGGTACGGGCCCCGCGCGTCCTGGGACGGCTACCTCTTCGGCGCCGGCGCCGGCATTGGCCTTGGCCGAGCGCCTGCGCCGCTGTCACGGCTCCCGCCCATCCTCTCCGCGCTCGAGGACTCACCTGTCGGCGTGGTGGAACGCTCCGACGGCCAAATTCCTGTGGAAGATGACTCGCAGCCCGAGCCCGACGGCGACGCCAACACCCCCGGAGGCTCGGCGCAGACGCGAGACTACTACATGGACACGTCGAGCCGGAGGCGCCGGAGCCTGGAGCGGTCAAGCTCCGTGCTGACAAGGTCGTTCGAAGTGCCCGACCCAAAGCCAGCCCCTGCAGCGGCCGCCATCACCAATGCACGGTGCCCCCGCTGACCGGCAGCTTAGAGTTCTACCACTTCCACCATGCCGAAGACCTGCTCGACCAACGGTTCAGCTCCAACTCTCTCGTCAAAGACTTCCCGGTGACCCTGGACGCTGCGTTCCCGGGCCCCGCCAAGAAGCCACGGCGTCTAAGCAAGGCGTGGACCCTCTGGGGCTTCATACACCGCCAGGCCACGGGCCGCCGGGGCAGCCCGTCTGACGCCCCAGACCGCGCGTTCTCGGAGCCGTGGCCGAAGCTGCGCGTCCGCGGGTACAGCAACGCTGGGATGCAGAGGTGCAACAGCAACGCCAGCGCGCGAAGCTCGTTCAGCAGCAACAGCACCGGCCTGGACTGCTACTTGGTTAAACTAATTGTTGCTATGTAAACAAAAAAACAAGATTGTTGTTATATGATATATGTCATTGGTGTTCATTTGCATATTCCATTATTGTTGATTATATCTTTTCATTAAAGTGGCCATGTTATATGCAAATTCCTCAATAGTGTTTGCTCATGTTATATCTTTTCATTGAAGTGGTTCGATTGTGCCCAAGTGGCTTTGTTGTTTTCAGGGAATGAAGCTGAGTGGCCTATGTTTTGCCGAAATGTTGATTCATTTCCGTTCCGGCAAATTTCAGGTTCTCAATTTGTCCACTTTTTAGCAAAAGTCATGCCGAAATTTTCCGTGAATTTCGGCATGACTTGTGCTACAAACTAGGACATATCGAGTGCCCGAGATTTGCTTCACCGAGAAGAAGTCAACATTCCTGCAAAACATAGGCATTTTTAATGTCATTATTCATTTTATTAGGTCTAGAATTAATTGACTAGATTTAATGGTAGGAAACATGGCTAGCACCGATGAAGGACAGGGTTCTGACGATTGCGACGACGTCTACCTGGCGGCAGACGAATTTTTGAGCCTTGCCGACGATCAACCGATGTTGTTGTTGGGCCCACTGGTCGCATCGGGGACTGAGACCGACACGCAGACCAGCGCTGAGACTGAGACCGGCGCTGAGACTGAGACCAGCGCTGAGACTCAGACCGGCATCGAGACCGGCGCTGAGACTGAGACCGGCGCTGCCTCGGGGAGCGGAGCCGGTATAGAACCGAAAGCAAAGAGGCGATGGCTTCCTAACAAGCTCAGGACTACTAGGCTGGTGTTCACGGAGGTGGACGATGGCAATTTTGAGCCAAACGCGCCCGAGGAAGCGCGCGCGTGCTACGACAATCAAATTGGCTGCATCATACGGACAACCGCCACCATCAACGATGAGAAACTAAACAAGATAGATAATATGAGGCCCTCCCTCCTAAAGAAGTTGCACTAGATATTCTTGTTCCTGGGCCGGAACGAAAAGGATTATAAAGATCCAGATAAGGACCCGGCAATGAAGAAGATAAACAAACACGCCATGAGCAAGTTTAGCAACGTGTTGGCCGCCTGGAAAGCAAGGGTGAAATATTGGATCGTCAATGAAAAGGAACCCTGCTTCGAGATTGTAAAGGATAATCCGACAATCACGGCAGAGCACTTTGAAATATTCAAGGTGGCTTGCGAGGCCGAAGCTGCCAAAAAAGTCAGAGTACATGAAGGGGCTTCAACAGAAGAACATTGGGTGCCACCACCTCGGAAGCCATGGTTACGGCGGGAAGAGGTCCATATGGGCCAAGGAGGACGCGGAAGCCGCGAGTCTGGGCATCCCAGACCCCTTGGCGGAGTTCACCGTCCCGCAGGAGCATGACGTCCTCAAGGCCCGACACCGTTGGGACCCAGTGAAGAAGGTTTTCGAGAAGAACGCGGTCACGACGGAGTTCATTAGACTGCTGGTAATTTTAGTTTTTGATCAATTCGACTGCACGTTAGTCATATTTGTAAACTGTTGGAAATATGCCCTAGAGGCAATAATAAAATGGTTATTATTATATTTCCTTGTTCATGATAATTGTCTATTGTTCATGCTATAATTGTGTTATCCGGAAATCGTAATACATGTGTGAATATATAGACCATAACGTGTCCCTAGTAAGCCTCTAGTTGACTAGCTCATTGATCAATAGATGGTTACGGTTTCCTGACCATGGACATCGGATGTCATTGATAACGGGATCACATCATTAGGAGAATGATGTGATGGACAAGACCCAATCCTAAGCATAGCACAAGATCGTGTAGTTCGTTTGCTAGATCTTTTCTAAGTGTCAAGTATCATTTCCTTAGACCATGAGATTGTGCAACTCCCGGATACCGTAGGAGTGCTTTGGGTGTACCAAACGTCACAACGTAACTGGGTGGCTATAAAGGTGCACTACAGGTATCTCCGAAAGTGTCTGTTGGGTTGGCATGAATCGAGACTGGGATTTGTCACTCCATATGACGGAGAGGTATCTCTGGGCCCACTCGGTAATGCATCATCATAATGAGCTCAGTGTGACTAAGTAGTTGGTCACGTGATGATGTGTTACGGAACGAGTAATGTGACTTACCGGTAACGAGATTGAACAAGGTATTGGGATACCGACGATCGAATCTCGGGAAAGTAACGTACCGATTGACAAAGGGAATTGAATACGAGATTGATTGAATCCTCAACATCGTGGTTCATCCGATGAGATCATCATGGAATATGTGGGAGCCAACATGGGTATCCAGATCCCACTGTTGGTTATTGGCCGGAGAGTTGTCTCGGTCACGTCTGCATGGTTCCCGAACCCGTAGGGTCTACACACTTAAGGTTCGGTGACGCTAGGGTTGTAGAGATGTTAGTATGCGGTAACCCGAAAGTTGTTCGGAGTCCCGGATGAGATCCTGGACGTCACGAGGAGTTCCGGAATAGTCCGGAGGTAAAGATTTATATATAGGAAGACCAGTTTCGGCCACCGGGAAGGTTTCAGGGGTCACCGGTATTGTACCGGGACCACCGGAAGGGTCCCGGGGGTCCACTGGGTGGGGCCACCTATCCCGGAGGGCCCCATGGGCTGAAGTGGGAAGGGAACCAGCCCCTGGTGGGCTGGTGCGCCCCCCTTGGGCCTTCTCCTGCGCCTAGGGTTAGAATCCCTAGGGGTGGGGGCGCCTCCACTTGGCTTGGGGGCCAAGCCACCCCCTTGGCCGCCCCCCCCATCTAGATGGGATCTAGAGGGGCTCGCGCCCCCTGGCCCCTATATATAGTGGAGGGGAGGCAGGGCAGCCGCACCCAAGTCCCCGG